AAGTTGGCCCCACCTATCCAGCCGCTGGTTCCCACCGAAGTGATCGCTCGCTGGCCCCCCAACTTCATGCTGGCCCCACCTATCCAGCCGCTGGTTCCCACCGAGTTTCAGCCTCCCACACTGCTGCTTCTAGTCCTCAGTATTAAGTTGTGCAGAATTTTGATCGGCCAGGAGGATGATAGAGAGAGATGCAAGGGTGAGCTATCTATTTTTTTTTTTTGTTAAAGGTACGAAAGAGATTTGGGAGATATTGTGATGAGATTTTGGGTAGAGAACGTCTGACGCACACTATCAAGAACCTGTCTTCTTTCAAACGCAAATGACCAATCTAGCCTAAAAAAGCAGCCCAAAAAATATAAATAAAGGTTATTTCAGTAAAAAGCTATAAAATGAATTTGGTGAAAAGAAAAGATGGTAAAGTGATTGGAAAGTGAGTGGCAGACGTTGTAAAAAGATGGTAAATACAGGGGCATTTATGTCCGAAAAAAATCGCCACGTGTCAGGCATACAACACTTCATACTTTCTCTTATATGTAAGAGGGAGATGTCCGAAAAAAATCGCCACGTGTCAGGCATACAACACTTCATACTTTCTCTTATATGTAAGAGGGAGATATTATTTTAATTTTGCCTCAATTTATATTCTAGCTCGCCTCAGAATGGGCTAGGTCACGGGCCCGACCTACTACACCCGTCGCGGGTCACCGAGGACCAGGTTCGGTCCATAACTACTTGACCCGACCTAGCTCATTATCTTCCCTAATGAAATCGTTATAAAGTAGTGTTGCTAAATACATAATCACGACTTAATAAAAAGTGTTGCGCATCGAAATTTGTCAACGCATAAATTTTGTGTTAAAGTTCGTTATAATGACGTATGTAATAAAATGTCACGTATTAAAATTTACAACGCACATGTGGTGTGTCGCCAAAATTTATAATGGTGACACTAAACAAAAGCGTCAAACATGATTATTACATATGCAAACGGCTTGCATTACAAATTCTAGTGACGCATTTAGAAAAACGTCACATATGAAAAATCACCTACGCAAGTCTTGCGTCGCAAATAATTTGGTGACATCAAATTTAGTAACACAACTCACGACACTTTTAATAGCGTAGGTAAAAATTTTTATATGACGCTAATAAGCGTCATCAAACAAAAAAATAAGCGTCGCCAAACGCCTTTTTTTTCAAATGCACAGAAGGCAACAAAATAGAAATATTAGCTGTAAAATAATTTAATATTGTATATTCAGACAAATTTAAAATCTTGTCAAGTTATTATAGAATAAAAAATAATAATAATACGGTTTTACTTGTGTAATTGTCATTTTAATGATGGTTATAAAGATTTTTATTAAATGGTGAATATATTTTTATTAAATGAACTTATATTATTATTAATTATTGGCTGAATAAAATTTATTGAAGCTTGCCAGCAATTATATATATATAGATTTCAACTAATTATAGTAATTTTGTTACGTATTATACACATATTTAATTTGTAAACATTATCTTACAATAATATATTATTTTTCATATTTTATATTTCTAATATAGCAGCTAAAAGTGTTCATTTATGTTTGTTTTGATCAATGTTACATTTGCTTCTTCAAAAGTGTAATACAGGCTTAGTTATTCCCTTGTTATTTTAAGTGTGGAAAAAGAAATACAGGCTACAATAGTATGAGATAAATGGAAAGAAGACAAAAAAATTTCCACCAAATAATTATATTTAAAATAAAATTTAAAAAAACAAAGGGTTTTTGAATTCGCAGCTTCATATTCGCCAACTCCAAAACCCTAATTCACAAATCCCTCCAAAACCTCTCCAATTGGAAAATCTGAATCTCTCCAAAAGTCTCTAGTGTTGACTTGAATGTATATGTGCCCTCCATTCCCGTATAATTCGAACTAGGGCTTGAATTTTTCCGTCTTTATTAAGGCCCTAGGTTTTGGTTTATCTTCACCAGGACTGAGAGTCCTGGCAAGTAATCAAGCAATAAAAGGGGTTCATTATCCAGTTTTTACTTTATTTTTGAAATCTTAGTTAAAGATGGTTGCTTGGGAGAATGAAGTAGTAATGCGTGACGTCACCAATGCGGGTCTCGTTGTCAGTGATCGCATTGGCCGGGAAATTGCGGGGCAGCTCGACCTGGAAGAAGCTTTAGAGGCTTCTAGATACTCCAGTCATCCTTACTCAACCCATCCGCGCGAGGTAATTTTATAGGTATTCCATTTGTGTGTTCAATTTGATTGAATATCTTAAATTTCTTGAGCATCCTTTATTTTTTTTTTCAATGTTGGGTTGGGGTTACTATATAGGGCACTTTCAAGTGCATACGAATGGATTACGGTGCTGCGTCCTTTGATAACTTGTTCCATCAGATTTCATTCATTTTCTTCATATTCGTCCATTTTTTTTTTCTTAAAAGTTCTGAACTGCTTTGTTAGCTCTGGGAGAACACGAGTAAATACAGTTTTTTGGACTAGTGGGAGCGTATTTAGATTTTATCTTTTGATTTCACCTCATTATCGTGCGCAAGAAGAAAGATAAGACTGCACATTTTAGTATTTCTAGAACCATGATTTAGGTAGTCATGGCCTGCAGTCATGTTACTGAAAATATGGGAGGATTGTGGTGGAAATGGATGCAACATGAGAAAGTAGCATTTATCAGTGTCGCCAATTTAGCAATTATTGTTAATGTACAACTAAAAAGATGCCTGAAAATGGGGAGTAAGTATATTCACCCCTCTATGTAATTCATTGGCAGTAGTAAACTCATGAAGGACTTACTCTTTCATTATCTCGACATTAGTCTAATTATCTAATATTCTTACTAATATTTTGGCATTATTAAACTAGAATTAACCTCAGACGATGGAAAAATTTGGTTATAGAAGCAAAGGAGAGAACAATTTATGATGACAGAAAATTTGGATATAGAAGCAAACAAGAGAAGATCGTACTGGTCTATTTGTTGTACCTGGGAAAATGTTGACAGGTAACGCTGGTA